GTGAGAACGAGAGGAATCCTAGTAATTAAGAAATGTTCTTAGAGGTTTTATAAAAATTTGTAACTGTGCCTTCGGCCGAAATATTTTTGAGAACTTTTGCATTCAACGTAATTTGGATTAATTTGGAAGTACAATTTAAAGAATTTAGTTTTATGTAATTTTCTGGTAATGCGAAGTTTTCTGTTAGTACGGTTTCCAGAACACTAGGCGCGATTATATGTACTTCGCCAAAAGTGAAGGTTTTCTTTAGCAAGCCAACTCATGTTCAAGGGGAACTAGGAGAAAGCTCGTGGTCGTTCATGCATGAGTGCTTAGGTATTTTTCAATACCTACGAATAGAGATGATTTTTGGGATTGTTAAGGAGGGGAAAGATAAATTGACAACAGTAGATAAACGCACGTTACAGTATTTTTTAGCAATCAATACTCATTATTTTAAAGGGTATACGATTCCAAATCATCATTCACTTCCATTGAAGTCATTCATTCTTAATATAAATACAAAAAATATTTTGGTTTGCTTAAAGTTCGTTTGAATCTGCTTTTCAAAGTAAGTCTGTGATTTGTGATGATCTTTTTTAGAATGATCAAAAGTACTTACTACTTTTCTCATTTAGAATAATGTGAATGTACCACTAAAATAAAAATTTGAAATAATTTCGAAAATTTTTAATTTTAGAGCATTTCTGTGAGTGAAGGAAATATTTCTTGGTTGAGTTGGGAACGCTTTCTCAAACTTCTTTGAGTTGATTATAACCATATTGATATATACCGCTCCATTTACATTAATATATCGAAAAGATTCGTGATAAGTCCAACCAAGTTATTCATCTTATTGAGCTTTTCGCTATTTCGGCATAGGGTTCAGTAGTTGAAAGCTGATTTTGGAAGAAGCAATAAAGGAAAACCCAACATAATTTACTATAACCAGTAATAAGACACGAATCGTGATAAAATTACCAACAGTTTTGGAAATAGATGTGGTCAAATCATTAAAATACTCTCCCACAATCTAAATATTGATAAAATAATAGACTTACACATTCTAAAGTATGCCTTCCATTACTGACGCTTATGGAAATACCGCAATTTATCGCCATCAGTATCGCCAAATCTTTCCACTGTGCTATTTTTCTATTATTTACTTCTTACTCAAACTGAAAAGCAAGTATCGATTTTTTGTCTTGGAAAATGTCCAATTCCATTCCTTTATCAGGAATAACGTAAATTTAACCAGTCCAAGTTGCTGCTAGACATTCCAGTTTTCGAGTGGAAAATGCTGGATTGATGCCACGAAAGAAACCCAGAACTATCAAGCATTCGAATTTCGAGTTTACTATGTAATTTTTTAAGCGACTGGATTTTAGAGCGAGCATAGTTGTTCGACGTTTGCTTTTTGTTTTAGAACGTCAATAAATCGACATCTACTAAATAGATCGAAATTAACAGCAATCCTCAACGCCCCAAGACCTTCTTTATAATACTAACTGTAATATAACAAAAAGCATGACCTACCGAGGAATAATCGTTATTATATGGTTCGTTATATTAGGTGCATATTTGTACCAACTTACTGCTTATAATTGCTTGACTAAGGCGCTAAATATGCACGAAAGAAAAGCCCTTAAATATATGTACTTATTTTTTTCAAAATATCGCCCTAAATTAAAGTTCCTTTAAATAAACGTCCATCATATATGACTTCACACTTACATTTCGAAATGTCTATGAATGTATGAGCTTTGTTTGACACCAGCATGAACTTGTGCATTATCCGTTTTTTAATACTTTTTTAACGCTCGAAAAGTATTGCGTTAATGATAAGCAAATGATTGCTAGTTAGATCGCAATTACATTCATATACAGTAGCTACTATATTTTTTATTTGGTTTCAGATAATTTCCTTGTCAAAATTCATCAGTGATTATAATCAACATTAAATAATTGAAGAATTTAAAATTTTGGATTGAAGCAAATTGGATTAAACTTCAAACTTAAACCAAGCTTTCTATGTATTTAATTAGAAGAAAATTAGCCCCACATGATAAACGATGCGATTGTGGCCAATGATCGCAAATCTAATTCTCCCATCTATAACTGCTGCTATGATATATGTCCGCGATGATAGGCCAACGGCTTTCCATAAACGGTTAAATAATGAGTTAGAAAATGACTTATTTAAAGATAAATGGATGCGGAATTTGAAAAATTCCTCTGTACAACTTCAAACAAATATTTACCTTGGAGCGGTAATCAAATAGACAACTGCGCTAAACAGGAAATGAACTATAAATTCCCCCGCTTGTGGACACGTGTCTAAACGCCTATATATTCAAGTACACTGTTTACCAGGGTAATTCAATTGCGATGCATCAGATGCATCAGGACGGATATTTTTTTGGATTGAACTCTGATCATGAGGAATTTGCTTCATTAACATTTCTTAGCGCTTTCAGGTGGCAAGCAAAGCAATAAGATAAATGCTCCTCTTTAAGGCAAAAACGTTTTCTACATCCTCGTCCATTTCTCCACTCTTTAAACAAACTGAGCTTTGTTTTCCATTTTATCTAACTAAAATTATTTTCCTCATCAAGAGCAGTGATGCATTTCGAAGTCGTTTCCGTTACTCCAGTGGTTTCATAACTCGCACACGAAACAATCAGTTTATTAAATTGCAGGATGCTAACTTAGCAGCAATTGGCATTTCAACCAGATTCCTTGTCCACTTTTCCCCCACGTTCCATCGATAAGTCGAATTCCGCAATTGCATCGGTATTGTTCAATATTTTTCTACATCCCGGCGATTAGTAAATCATGACTAAGAATTTTATCTTCACATGATCGGTCATTCTTGCAACAATAATTGTCGTTAGTTTTATCGACGCTGGCACCAGCGATGCATAATGCAACCTAAATTGCTTGTGAGCATGACGCAGATGAAATTCCATTGAGAATCGATTCAGGGACGGCGAAGAAGTATAGACGATCTGTTTAAATTGCAAAAGATTTGCTATTTATTTTTTACCAAATGGAAAATTAATTTTATCTCTGCAATTAAGGGGAGGGGCCAACCATCAGCTTTTAACACTCCAAAGCAAAGAACGACACAACAGCAAATGTTGTGTCAAAACACCTATTAATCTTTAAGTCTTTTTAATTGCTTGTTAATGTTTGCAAAAATAATTGAATTACATTTACCTATACTAAATGTACACCCTGCATATCGCAAAGCTTATTAAAAAGTGTATGATGTCCAATGGGGTGTTTCATAAAATATTTAAAAAACCCGAGTCGATGGAAACTAACTAACAACAGAACCGAGTAAATAGAAAAAAATATTATATTTTACTTGATTAATAATTAATAGTAAAAATTGAATAATAAAAAATACATAAACTAGGGAAAGGTAACATTGTTCTATTATACCATCGTCTCTGCTACTAGAAATGTTTATTTAAATTTGAGTAGCCAGTATATAATTTAACCACATCTATTGCAAATTGCATAATTACGATCAACTCGGTAGTTTGAACCATCAAAAGGAAGCAGAAGAAGCTCAGGCATGTGGGCGTTTATGTTTTCTTGTTTGTCTTTTTCCCTATTGGTTAATAACTGATGTTGTAAAGGCATTTTAATGATGTTCTGTTAGAGAGTTCAATAATAGAAGCGCGCTCTTAATCTCTACCTGTTCTGCGAGTAGATGATGTATTTCTGTTGCTACTTCAGATTTTTTGTCTTCATTATGGATTACACTCATTTACATTTACATTGGCAATGTGACATAAATAATGCAATACTTTGTCATATTGAGAAATAGAGAGGTACCTTATTTAGCGCAGGCGTATGTGTTAAAAAATAAGCTTTATATTTTGTGGGAGAAAAGCCAATCGCGAGAATACAATTTTTATGGGTAGAATGAGAAAAAATCCCTAATTGAGCAGAAAAACCTTTTTGCATCTGTTTGAATATTAATGTACATAAATTTGGAAGCGAGTGAAAAATATTTAAATATTATTTTCATTTGAGTGAAAAACCCAAGGGCAAATGAATGGATTGAAGGATTGAATTTAAGAAATACTTTTACATAGATCAAAGTATCAAACAGTCCTAACCAATTTAAGTGCTGGCAATCCCATCTAAGGCTAAATCCATGTCAGAAAATCTAGTAATTGTGTTCAAAATGCTAGAAAAATATATATTAAAAAAATTTCTTCCAGCGTCTGAAACAGGTGAAAGAATTATTTAGAATAAAAATTCATCTGAAGGCAGAACTCAGATTACTGTGTGAAATCATCAATGCCAGATTTTAAAAGTTAAATTAAATTATCTGGTTCTCTAGTACCTACTGTAAATTTTGCAAAGTTTTTTTAATAAAATTCCCTTCTGAAACATGTTCATGTTGCAACGTTCCATAATCATTAATGTATTTGTTGTTTTTTCCAAAAATGGCAAAAGTACAATAACTGAAGTTTTCTAAAATAGTCAATAGCTTATAATCAGCTAAAATCCTACAAAGTTGCACTTTAAACATGCACGCCCACTTAAGGGAATTCCTTGTAGGAGAAGAAGTTATATGTTTGTTGTGGGCTAGTTTTTAGATACGAATAGTTTTTGGAGATCCTGTATACTCAGGAAATTATGATTTTAGTGCGTGTTTTTCTTATTTGTTTTTGTAGTGGTTGTATTTTCACCCAACTGGCCGTTCAAGACAGACAGTTTTACAAAACATTTAGCCATAATACAATAAAATAATTTCATCATTAATTATGATTTTATTCGTTTCACTTTAATTTGCAATGACAATTAGTTACGCTACTGACCGACAAATACGTTTCTCTATTGGTAAGACACCGGGACCGCACACACTGATCTGGTTTTCCCATAAAACTATCAATCTGCGAAAATGCAGTTTGGGTTTGTTGGCGTGCATATTTTTTGCTATGGGAATATTGTGCTATGATTGTATAGTAAAGGAATTCAACAGTTCCGCTTTCTTTCAGGTTAACGAGTGTTGTCGTGGGAAAGAAACTCTCTGAATTGAGCAGCTGACAATTGGTAGCAAATTCGTCTGGAGCACGTCGAGCTTCCACTTTCACGTCTGGGGCTATTCTGTCTTAAAAGTTCGAATGTTGCGGATTTCAATTGTTAGTTACCCTCAACGGTAAGTTACGCCATTTTTCTTGTTGATCTCAAGTTGGGTTTTTTATTTAAATTCAATTAAGAAAGCCATTCTTTACTGATAACTACAACAGTTATTTAAATATAGTTTTTAGACTCAATATGACTTCCAGTTTCCATCACCAAAATTGTATAGTTGTATTAACAGCCTATTCGAAAACAGATTAAAACTGTTAAGTTGGAGCAAATTTCTCGGGAGGACTCAAATTATTGAATTAAAAATTAGCAAAAATCTAATTATTTGTGAAAAATGATACGAACGTTCTATGGCTTGCTTTCGTTGGCGCATCCTTTTGATTACTGTGCATTTTGACTGAAATCCATCAAGCAAATTAAGAATATACATATCTCTAAACCAACTAGAATTTTCAAACACTTTCATTAACCGTTTGATTATTAATTAATAATGTTAGTTAATACTTAACAAAAACGTGATGGGTTTATCTCATTCAATAAGTTTGTTTAATTATTTTATTTTAGCGGTAAATTATTCCTTTATATATCGATACATCAAATGGCATCTGAGGGCAACTTTGAAACTTGAAACCAGTTGTAATTTTTTAAAATTAAAGTTGTAATTTTTTTTCAATCTAATAGGTCAAGATCGTTACTTGAAAAAAGTGTATACAATTGGCAACATCAATGTTTTTATTATGATTTTTGAAATCTTGCATTATAACGTTATTGCCACGAAAGATGCACTATTTTAGGGTAAAACATGCAAAGATTATATACAAGATACAAAGTTTATATTAAATTCTATTAAAATGTACATTTTAGCTGTTAAAAATGCGTGCTTTGTGTGTTCTTTCATTTTCAGTTGTTTTATCTAAGTCGTACATAAAAACTCGATCTATTTTAATTTATTTAAGTACAGCATAAATAATCTGCAATAGTTGTGGCGCTCTACTTTTAAGCATAATTCTTGTCCATAATCAAATCTATACTTTTAATATTTGGGCCAAAAATATACAAAAATGTGTGTTTAAATTGAAGTCACTCAGTGCATTACATATTTAGCATATGCATTTCACATTTTATGCAAGTATCTATTAAACCCATCTAAAATTTACTAAAATTGTATTGCCAGGCTTGCCAGGTATCAATATATGGTTTCCAGGTTTTTCGTTCAATTGAATTTTTGTTGAAAATTCTCAGATACCAACATGTATAATTTCAAAAAATGTTTACAGGTTGGTTCGACATTTTCAAATTAAAAATTCAGTATTTGTTTGCTGGAAGTAAGTGTAATTACTCAAACCTTTTGCTTTAATAGGAACAATCGAATAATATACTTTGAACGATAAGCTAAAAATATGCAGTCACCAAAAGCATAAAAACACACTTTCTAATATTAACATCAAATTTGCGGTCGCTTTTAGAAGAAAATTCTGGCAGATTGGATAAGCAGAATTTAGCATTTTAACTGTTTAATTTCAACTAAAATAAGCTACAAAGTGCATGTATAAAATTAAAATAATGTATTTTAAAGCAGTTTAACCAATGTATTAATGTGTTTCGCTTCTAGATGTATCTGACAATATAAAAATACATACAAATACTCTCTTTCGTCTTAAAGTTATAGATGCTTTTCGGCAAAAATTAATTTCATTTGTTGTTTTTTCTTGTTTAACAGTAGCAATTGTTTGTTTTCCAGCGAACCAAGTTGCTGTATGTTTACCATTATTTTTTAACTTTTATATTTACGTTTACGTGCTTGTTGAATGGTTTATTGCATATAAAAATTGAAAATTTTCGGTTTTATTTGGAACTTTCTTGTGCTTTGAACGTATTTAAAAGTCAAAATAGGTTTTCTGCTACATCTAACAACGAGTTTTATTTAATTTTCGTGGCGTTTCTTAGGGAAATAAGGCTGCATGTTTGGAATACACGTTCGAATAGATAAAAACGGTATTGACTTCATCATACACGTAAATGTAATATGTTATGACGACAATTTACACACGATATGTCAAATAACATGAAGGAATTATGCTTTACTAAAATGTGAATTATTAAGGTTTAAATTACTTAATTTACTTCTGACAAAAAATATCAAAAATATGTTTGGTAACCGTTTAGAGCTGGTAATTTGAAAATACCTCTTATGTGTTACATTATTAATGAAGTTTAAATTATTATTGATTGTCCCCCATAAAAGCAGTCCCTTTTTCAAGATACCCTTATTACTTATTCTCTAAACTAATGCGCCGGAAGCAACTGAATAGATTGATCAGTGACCCAAAAGCAAATTGAACTCGAGCAACATATCATCTATAGAGTTTGCCCTTGTTGAAGACTCATAATTTACGAACATATCATAGTGATTGGCTGCTAAAACATAATTGAACTAAAAATATAGCTTTTTTCAAGCATTATTTTTTTGGACTTAGTGATTCTAAAGTTTATAAAACGAATGAGGTTTTTATATGTAGAATGTCAACTTCTATCGTTAAAATATTTTTGCCGCAGATGTTTTGTTCGAAGAAATGTTTTTAATACGTGTAACCACATTGGCTCTTGCATCAACAGAAAACCACGTTTATAACTGAGCTTACTCAGAAATTGGATAAACGCTAAGGTTGATTAGGAACATTTTTTAAAAGTTTTCCAGATAATGTCCGACGCTGGTTTCTCAAGGTGCCTAAAACAATACCTGTTCTATGTTAACACAAATTTTTATTCGAAAAATCTAAAAAATGTTTAAGGAATACTTCTGAACTAGAAATTTGTTGCAAGTTTCATTCAGCTTACATTAATTCTAATTCAGACTCTACTCGGAAGGCCCATTCTACATATACATAGTGTCAAATTTCTATTTGAACCTGTTTTGTTTTCCTGAATTGCTTGTCTGTGTTCATTACCTGTCTACAATCTTCGATTATTTGATTTTGTGAATGAAAAAACTTCGATTTATGTTTGCGATGTAGTAGTTTTTTTTCTCAAACTTTTTGGTTTGTTTGCTTAGTTTTGCCGCAAAATAATTATACGCACAATCAGATATTTGTCCCGATTTCGTCCAGGTTTGATTCAATTTACCATTAGCCCTGGTATTTTGGCACAACTTCAGTCGAGCGCCGTGGCGCCCCGCTTTTGCCCATTGCAACGAACGTAGCCGAATAAATGGAACTCGATCCGAACGATTCGGTTGGGTTACGAGGTGGGATTTAAAACGACGATTGGTTCATCAAGCAAGCAGAAAATCGATCGGAAAGCCTATTTTGAGTGAAATTATTGCTATTGACAGTGAAACTAGGATGTTGCCAGCATGTTCATCGCAGATTTGAATAAAATGATCAGGAGCTAGAAATGACAAAAACGCCAATGGTGATTGTCTGTTCAATCCACCTAACACATCTGCCGACAAAATCCAAGAGATGTGGACATACTTGTTTCACTTTTAATAGCGACCGGATAAAATCCAGCTTGATTCTTATTATAAAGCTTATTACTAAAGAGGGGCTTAAGATATCGATTGGGCACTCACTCTGTATGACCCGATTGTTAATGCCGTTGTTTAGTTAACATTTCGTACATTCCTCGGCGGCCAAAGAGCCGGACTTTCTCACGGGGTACGTTGATCGCATGTGAGCGGTTCTTCGAAAAAACTGTCCGCTTGCCAGCGCGGTGGCAATAAATATGAGAGCTGAAAAGCGAGCCACCGGCGCTTCTGGCACTTCGAATATTGTAATAGCCCGATTTTATGGCTTTTCCAAGACCGACTGACTATTAAGTGCCAACTTTAAAGGGCTATTGTGTTGGCTAAGTTAATTCTATGAGACGACCCGCCACCGAGCGCGAAACCTAAATAGAACTTTTGTTAGAAAAAGGCACTACCTCCAGAATGGACAATCGCAATTTCAAACTGGTTTCACTCGAGCAACATCGTTTCTCATCGAATTAAATATCGGTTCAACTTCTGAAAATAGGCTTCGTCGTCTTTATAGAAAGGGCTTTAAAAATTGCATCACATGAACTGCAACAAGATCATTCTTCAATGAAAAACTTCAATTTTTGAAAAATTCTTCAGCAGTTTCATCCCGGAAACATGTGTATGCCACAGCCGGTTATAACATAAAAAGGCAGATATTTCTGTTTAATATTAAAGCATAGTCGGATCAAGGGTTTTGTGCTAAGACTTTCACGTTCCGGTTCAAATTCCCCGGAAAATGTTGGACGGATTTTATCTGCTTTCTGGCTTGTTACGTTATGTAGCTCAAGATGTTCTTGATCGCCCTTATGTGGAATTTATCTGAAGTTCAGCAGTTGAACCCAAAAAAAAATCTAAGCCTCAAGCGCACAAACGTTTTTCACATTTCAATGGCTTGAACTTGGCGTACTTTATAGTACAGCTCATTTCCTAATGAAGAAGATTGCATTGTTCTATAGGTTCTGCATGTGCAGTAACAACACTTGCGTATCTTTGATAAAATCTCAATAAGTCCATCAACTGAAGCTGATGCTGATCGACTCGAAACGCTCAGCACTCATTCACGTAGTCAAAAAATGATTTCATATTTAAACAGGAACAGTGTTTCAGTAGACTTAGATTTCCAAGAACAAATTGAAAAAATATATTTTGATAGAGGCCATAAGCAATTTAATATGCAGAACTTTAATATACAGGAGAAATATATTTTAGATCGAAAATGAGATGAAGCTACGGGGTTTTGGAAAATTGTTCTTTGACCAACGCGTTCTGTGACGGACACTAAAAGACTTTTTTGGGCTTTTTGGGAATTTGTGGTCAATATTTAATAGTCAAATTGTCAATAGTCAAATGAATATGAAGTTTTTTTTAAATGTTTCCCAGTTTTTCAAGCGGTACCCCTATAAATTAGAAGTTTTGTTTGGCTACTTAAAGAATTATGGAGTTTTACCAAATTAACTACATATTAATTATTGATTTTTCGAATTGATTGAATTTTACAAAATTCGAACATTTTTGGTTTTAGTATGCTCCAAATCACCCAAGTTATACCCAATGGATTTGGGTTCAAAATATTTAAAAGGAATCATTGAGAGCCGGAGTAAAAGTTATAAGACAATTCGACAAGACAGGCACTTCTTGAGAAGAATTTAGTTTATTTCTTGGAGGATGTTCTTAAAAATGCATTTTCATCGTTGCTACTAAGCAATTTTTGAAAGTTTTCCAACGTCTATTTGGCAAACTATGAGAATAGCCAAACATTGCGAATAATACCATGCAAAACTTGTTTAAACTTGAGCGGAATTTCTCTTTGAAAAATGAAAAACGATTCCATGTTTTTATGAAAAATCACAACAGCAAAAATGTATCAAGGCATTAACTTGTTAAGAACGATGTGAATATCTGATGAATTAAGTGTGAATTCTAAATCGAAATTTAAGAGTTGTATATTAAGTTGAGTTTATATTAAAATCTTCAACATTTAAATTGTATAACAATGTCGGACAGACATAAAATAAAGATGACCTTCAAAATTAAACTTTAATGGGACAATTCTTCAACAAAATACTCTGTGCATACACCATCAAGAATAACCAAGAACGTGTTGATTGAAACAAGCACAAACACCAGGCCAATAAACGAATTTCAAGTCTTTGGATACTTTGTCTTTGATCGCGAACTTTTGAAGAACTTATTTCTATCATATCAATTTTTTTCATCAGAAGCTTTTCTCTTGCATTAAGCCGCGATATGAGATCAAAACATTCTTGTAAGTAGAAAAAAATCGGTTAATGTAAGTGTTTTAGTATTATAATAAGTTCTGTGATAAAATACATAATAGGTATTAAGAGTACCTACTTATTGACAGCAATTTATCTAATTTCTTAGATAGGAATTTCATTGAAAAAATAAAGTTTTTAAACACAATCAGTGCTCAACTGATTAGTGACAACCGCTTTTGAATCGTTTTGTAAAATAGTGCATAAGTTCTCATTTTCTAGAATGGCTTATCTTAGAAACTTTAAAAAAATCCTTTATTTTAAAACCGTTTTAGGCGTTTTATCTGGTCTTGCTTTTGAGGCTCTGATAATTTTACAAAATTAAATACAAAGTCAGTTTTTTAAATTTATGGAACCGGTATTATCCATTATTAAGCAATAATCTGCAAATTGTGGAAACAACACGGTGAACAACATAGGTATTTTTTAAATATAATTTCAAATCTCATCGTCCAAAAACAATGTCGATGAAGGACAGTTCTAAAAAGTGTAATTCAACAAAATTATACTGAAATAAACCATTAAGCTGGTTATAAAATAGCGACTTAAAAGCTTGCCTTGACTTTAAAATGTTAGCAAAATATGTGCTAAACGAAGCAGAAAAAGAAAATACGCACTAGGTATTATTGAAATCAAATACCTACCAAACAAAACGCATTTGTAAACATCACTTTAGGCCTCTCACGCTTACATAAAAATCGTTCTTCGACATGGTCTTATTGAGTGAAGTTGGTGCTCTATAAGCTTTTGGGGTCGTCGAACAAAGATGTAGCAAAGTCCAAGAAAACTGCAGGCAATCTTCCAAATAACTTAACAGGAAGTGGCACCCGATAATTTGCTGATGACCCCGAGAACTTAAAATTATTAACGATACCAGTCGTCTCAAAATATAAATAAATTAATTAATTAACGAGATGTCATTTGAAATATCTATAGCTCGATTGCTAAATGGCTCAACTTCTTTGTTAATTTATATATTAAACAATGTTTAAGTAAAGTGAAATGAACGAAAAATCTCAATGTTTGCTGGTGAATGAATGCTGGTTGATATATTTTGTCTGTGTGAACTGTATTCTATAAAATTCACACTGTAAATGCAAGATTAAGTTATCTAAATATGTTTATTATTATATTCTAGTGCGCTTTAGTTATTGTTTATTTTTAAGGACAGTTGCTCTAAAATGTTGTCCTTGTGCTAGCCAGTAGAAGGCTGTATTAAGATATATGTAATCAAAGAATTCTGACATACATAACATCACTTTTCCACCGAATTTGCAAATCACAATCCGAATTCGTGATTCACTTTTGTCCAATCCGAAAATAGCTCCATGACTTCAGATACCGATAAGAAATTTTAATATGAACTCTTAATGGTAATTTTTCAACTTTATATTGGCTAAATTATGCAGACTGCTGATAATGATTTCGCTGGGTTTTCATTCATGATTTCCGTTCGTACAGTTCTGAATGGACAATGCTCGAACGGATACGTTTTTATTTTAATTGTGCTGTATTAGCTGTGGTGTTTGTGTTGTGAATGTAGGTTTCTGTCGGTGGCTTTATTTTATAGTTGAGTTTAATATTTTTCTGAAATCCCTCTTTTGGAAGGAATACGAACGATACGAATTATTATTCTCAGCCTCAACAGTAAGAATTGCTAAGGTAATTGTAAATGCAAATATATGATTTTCAAGTACTCGTAACAGGTTTATGAACAAGTTACATAGGTATTACCACAAAAATGCAGCGGGGATTCCCATATATTAACAGTTTCCTTTCAATTCGATTACAATAATGCATTTCAATTAGACTATTGTGTCCATAAATGCTTTTTTACGTTTACATTTTCCTTTTGATACTGAAAATTTCTAGATCATCGCAGACCTTTGAAAAATAAAAACGATTTCAAAGAACAGTATCATGTAAATTTTCCAGTCTTAGATAATAAATTTCTTTCAATCCCAATATAATTTGGATCCAACATCCGATACTACTGTAAAGCCTGTTTTCACGTGTTTATTTCCTGAAAAATTATCTAAAAACTGGCTTAGATCTTATACAAACATAATCATTAATAAATGTTGTTGTTGCGATGTAAATTTGAATAATTAATAACCAAATTACATGTATATTGTAATGGAATTTTTATCTCGAAATTAATTGTGCTATTAGTTGTATTCGGTCAATCTCTATTCTTAGAATACATATGTGTGTTGCGTGAAGTGTAATATATAACTCCTTAAAATGTTGATTACTAGGCATTACGCAGTCTTCAACTTTTTTGATCTTGTGTATTTATAAAACGAGCAGTGCTGATAATATTAACAAACAACCAACTTAATTCTTAACATTTCAAACATAATCGGGTCACAACAAAACTCTAAAATTTCAGTCCAAGAATGATTCTGATTCATTGAATTAGCAAAAATTTAGTAACTACCTAGGCATATGTAAAGAATCGCAAGTATTGTACTTGAAGTAGGAGGTCTGAACTCAATTAATCACATTCGCAATAGAGCTTTGAGGTAGGATAATAAATATTTATAAAATGAAACTGTTTTCGTCGTAACGGATGGCATTTAAAATCAAAATTAATTAATTTCAGGTCCAAATAGTTTTTTTAATCAACGTCCAACATCCTTCCGGTTCTGAAAAGACGTCCTAATGAAGTCGTCAACTTCCGTTGGGTGAAGACAGTCAACAATAAGACGTATTTTATGGCAAGTAAGTATGTAATTTAATTTCGACTTTTAGTAAACAAATTAAGACTAATAATGTGCTTTGAAGCTGTCATTGTTATAAAATCGTTATTTTTACTTTGTCGTGTTTCTGAGTCTTATTCAGTGTGACTTGGTGTAATTGGCAAGCTTTGCTGAAATGTTATTTCATAAATATAACAGGTTATCGAACTCATTCCAGTAGGTAATGGTATCTCAATTACGTCTAGTCATCAATCTTTAAGCAGATAAAATGGAATGGTTTTAGGAATAGCTTAGACTGCTTACATTACGTATTGTCAGGAATTTATCATATTATGTAGTTTCGTATTATGCATATTGAAGTTGAGCGTTGGCTGAGCAACCAAGGAAGTACCAGCTCAATTTTTCCGGATTGGTTTCTATAATTTAATTTCTTTGTGGAAACTTGCAATATATTATTTTGTAACTCTTAGTTTGCTTTTAATGATGTACTGCGAAAAGGGTTTACTGTAGCAAGGCTGCTTAGCTCTGCTAATTATCTGCCTAAATAACTCAATAGTGCCATTTTTAATTCTATCCAGTTCATTTGCTTTAATTCACCTGTTATATCAGCCAACTGGCATTTAAATGTTTTGCTGCTCCAAATTACGAACGGAAATAAAATAGCTAGCAGCAGCATAATCATAATTATCTTAACTTTCATGCTGCCCTTTTAAAACGTACATTTATTCCTGCTGCCAATGCGCTAAAAATAAACCTTATCAAATTTAAGACAACTTTCGCAGAAGTTTCTGTGTTTATTTAGCCCCTCTTACATTCCGTTCATCCTCTGAAAACTAACAGACATTTTCTTATCTGGATCTTTCATGGTATGATAGATAGTTTGATCTCAGTGGTTATGTGGATTAGTTGGCGCTAATTGTCGAACTGGGATCTCCTTTAAGGAAAACGGTGAAGGAGATTTGATTTCCAGTTATTTATTGTGAATAGGTATATATGTTTTCCAAAAGTTGTCAGGAATAAACGTTAAATTTTATGGAATTCAACCCCTCAATATCTGAACGAATTCAGGATACTGTTTAGTAGTAAAAAGTTCAATAGTGATTATTCTTATCACACGCTACCTAGTTTGACGGTCTCATTCCACTATCAGAATTTCAAATTAATAAAATATCTACATAATTACATGGCGCCAGTGAGAACAACAATTTCATGTTTATTAGCATTTTTGACGTCATTAAATTTATTCATGCTTATTGTACTTTCGAGAAACTTTTGTAAATGGAGTAACAAAAACCATTGTAATTGCTTTAATTGATATTTGATGATCAGTATCTGTACATATATTTAAATATAGTAACTAATATTGGCTTTATGTATTTTTCAGGTTGGATGAGGACATCTGCCTATAGGAAAATCAGTACTCAACTCTAACGCAATCATTGGCCAGAAGCTCCACTTAAACGAAACTGGTTTTCACAGTGATTTGACAGAGTATTTGATTCTGAGATCATTGTGAAAGCTGATTTTGTTAAGTTTTCATCGAGGGAGTCACTGTTCAACAATCGTATCGCATTTATTATGCTAAATGAGTTAAGCTCTGTTTAAACTTTTGAAGACGCTCTGGTAATTTCATAGTTTTAGTGCACAATAAAATATAGTGTGTAAGAGTGTTATGTACTGTAAAAATACTTGGGTTTAACAGTGAAATAAACTAGCGTTCTTATATAATTAAATACGTAAATATTGGGAAGTAAACTAATCTTTATCGTGGCTGGTCCTTTTGCTGCGGCATTTCACGGATTTTCAATGTATATAAATTCTATTTGATGTAACTTACCCACAGTTGACTTTTCTTGAGGACACGTGCCTTTTCTCGATCAGCTAGTATTGAAGTTATTAGACCATTTATCTGGAAAACAACAAACACTCAAAACCCTTTGCACTACACTCAATAAATAACGCATGTACTTTCAACTTAGTTTTATAATTTAATTAGAAATCGGTCTAGTAATTTCTTTCACTCGACTTGCCTTTTTGCCCTTAATGATGAACAAAAAATATTGGCATTTTGTTTGTTGACGTTTAGTTAAATTTACGCATAATTATTAGGAAAATTATTTGTTGTACCTACATATTGTAAGTATTAGAACGAAAACATTTTCAATCGAGGCTCAAAATGCAGATCATAATTTTTGAAACCTAATAATACAGGGTGTTTCATAAATAAGTACCGTCAATTCAGAGGTAATAGACCTTGCCAATATATACGTGGATCAGCAAACGCTTCGCTTTCGAAGAACAGTGCGTCAAACTCTACTTTGAAAAAAGTACAAAATTATGTATTTCTGCAAAACGGTGTTATAACTTTAGATAACTCTTAACAAAAACTGTTTAGTTCTTTGGTTCATAATGTTTTCCTCTTTGCCTTTGGCTCATAATGTAAAATTTCAGCTTCAGCATGTTTTTTTTACCGGGAAACGTATGATCGTACAACAGAAATAAATGAGTACTTTTTTCTTCGTATCTGAACAATTAATTAAGAGGTATTTTTTATTCTTCGAAAAACCAGTGGTGTACGATTTTTTTATTCGAAAATATTCAATAACGTAGCGGTGTGGCGGAAATTTATTTAACCGTTTTATAGAAATGTCTAATTTTGTATTTTTTTAAGTAAAGTTTGACGAGGAAATTTATTTAACCGTTTTATAGAAATGTCTAATTTTGTATTTTTTTAAGTAAAGTTGTAGACTTAGATTTTTTCATACTTGCGTAGGGGTTATTTACCGCAAAATGTACGGTACTTATTTCTGAGATACCCTGTACATATTTTTGATGAAATCTTGCTATGCCAAGGAATCCTACCGAATAAAAAATAAAAATAAGATGTAACGTAAGACGTAAGTGTTAATGAGTCAAATGAATAAACGATTTTCGATTTACTTAAATATTCATGCATTTTTTCTTCAATCCTGATTAAACGACTTTGCCAGTAGCTTAGTCGTTTTTTAAATTATAATAATCACGTCACTCGATAGTTGTTCTCGGATCGCAGGAAAATAAATCAGTTTTATGTATTTGCTTATGTTTGCTCAAACATTAAATAGAGTCTATTTAATAGACCACCAATACATTTTGTCTGCTGGATAGAAATGTGATATTAAATTAAGTCGACATTAAAAATATAAAACAGATAACATGGTCGTTAAAAAGCGACGTTTAATTAAGTGAAACTCATACTCATGAATTGCATTGCAATTGATAGCTTGCAAACATTTTTATTTAAAAAGACGTTAAAATCGGTGTGTTTTTTAAATATTGACTCAAACTTTGAAATATGGATTGCTTTCTAGAGCCTGCAAAATTAAGGAGAACTCTCATTTTCGCAATGTATAAGGGACATATACAAAGATTTAGTGTTATGTAGAGAGAAGAGAATTTATATTCACAGTGCAACGTATCGGTTAAGTAACATTAAATTAAAAATCCGAGTGTTGTCTATATAAGTCATATTATTAAATAAACTTTGTTAAGAAATGTATGTTTGATTATATAAGGATTGTTAGGGCTTGATTGGCACAATAAAGCCACGATATTTAACTATGTAAAATGCCATTACTCTATTTTACCCTGCAAATTGTACCAGTCTGTATTATCAAATATTTATAAAATATTATACTGTCATATCTTTTGCAGCATTAACCATAAATGATTTGTGCCTTCCTCGCAAATAAACTAAATATATAAGTCTGGAACTGTTTAGATGGAGAGTTTAGTTGAAACCAACTAATGTGGGCTCAATATAAACTTTTGTAAAATAAAGAATGTGTGTATTTAAATTTTCAAGCAAACCGTACCTCAAGAAAAAACGTTTTTGAACAAAACCCAATCTGATTGACTTGAATGATTTAAAAATGTAAAAATGTACGCGTAAACATATGTTTCCAACGGTTTTTCCTGGACACAAAAAACTCCAAGTTTAACTATGTTTTAAGGTTACTGTAATAACACCGGTGAACATCTTTACAGAAACACTATCTATAAATTAATATTGCTGCTAATATCAGTCATCTGGTTAGTTACGGAAACCAATAGTTATAAAGTGGTTTTGCATCAGAGTTGCAGTACTTATCAATACAAAAGTTCTCAAAAAGATTTATTAATATGTAAAATCATGAAAAAAAACAATTTAGTCCAGAACTCCCATTATCTGTTCATACCTACAACGTTAATTCTAGCCTGTATTGCAGCAAAGTATTTTACGTAAAAAAATGTCTATTCTCCTAAATCACAAGCGCACAGGAGAAAAATAATGCAAGCAACAAACTAAAAATAAGGATTTAGGAAACCGGAAGCAAATTAAAACAAATTCTGATAGACATTTCAACTTTCATGAGCCATGTAACTTTTAAACCTGCGAAACATTTACGAAAAACCCATGTAAAACATGATTTTCTAATTGAAAATCGACTCGACTGTCTAATTATCTACCTAACATTCTCCTGGATCACTGTGTAGCCATGCACAGTCTCAATAGAATTTGTAATTCTCCGAGAATCTTTTCAAAAGGAGCAGATTTAATATTGAAGTAAAGTAAGTGCTGAAAAATAACTCACCATATCGAAATTTTGCAGAAATTCATTTCGTCACCCCCAATGCAAGTTGTATTCGCTTATAATTTAGCTTGTAGCCGTTTCACTAGCACAAAATTAGCAAAAAAACGCCACTAGAATGGTGAATTTTGCTTAAAAAAGAAAAACCGCCCGTGCTACGCACGAAACCCGGAAAGAATGAATCGGCGGAGGGTCACTGACGAGTTGTTTATCCAGTTTTTTGGGTAATTTTGTTTATATGAAACAACTAACTAGTCGACAGGGTGTTTATGCGCGTTGCCGATTTCGTTCGAGAATGCGCATTTTAATCTTCAGCCGCTAATTATTCTCTGAATAAATAAAGTATAGATATTTAAAACATGCTGTAAGAACATTTTGTCAAAACTATGAAAATATTTTCTGATGTATTTTTCAATGCATTTAAAATGTTCTGCCTGTCACAGAATTAATAAAACTGAGATTGTTCGAATGTTCTGCAGAAAAGTCGTATTTTTATGAACGATGTTTCCTAAAAACGCCAAAACACGTAATATTTTAGAATTTATTGTACAACTTTTGGTGATTAAATTTATCTCTTATTTACAACCTCTTCATCTGCAGTTACTGCAACTTTTTTCAAAACTCCTCCAGGCCATATTAACCATACCTATAAGGGCTTTATCAAAAGGTCTTCCAAACCTGTATCTGATGGCATAAAAAATTTGGATGTGCTCATTCTGATCCGAAGAAACTTGCATAAATAAATTTTTCTTTCTTACTTGCTATATGACTTAGCTTAAAGCTAAGTTTTAAAATAATTTATTTCTGCACCGATGTTCAACGAAAAGTTTAGTATCATACTCAATCGTTATGGAGCTCTCATAAAGAGGGTGAATTGAAACAACGAGTTTTTATTTTTTAAATTTGAAGTACATCGAGCCGTCCAGGATTTATCTAGTGCTGAAAAATTAAAAGATTTCAGTAAAAATAGAAAATTTGACGATTAACTACTATAGTCTCAATTAAAACTTAATTGCGAATATGTAGTGGTATATGGTATTGAATGGTCATCACGATCACTCGATTATGCCACTCGATTTCTTTCTATGAGAGTATTTAAGGAAAATGATGTATCAAAATATGCTCTTGAGGACCTTAAGATGGAATTAATAAGTAATGGTAACAACGTGAGAAGAAATCCTGAATTGTTCTAGTACATAAAAACAAACTTACAGGGTTACTCGCAAAATAAATTTATACTGATTTCGTGCAATTTTCCATTTTAAATCTAGCAAAATATTCTGAAAGTTTGCCTACAAAATGCAACTAACTTAATTGGCAAGGTTTTGCACTAAATTAATTTCAGTCAGTACCTGAAATATTTTATCAGAAGCACACTAACTTTATTAGAACATCCCGAATCCTCTGATCCTTCACGACATCTTGCGACTTTCCAAATAACGTTCTTTTGCCGATCAATACTCTGCCCTCATTACAACCCGATATTTTTACCTTCGATTAAATTTCCGTACTTATAATGCATCTTAAGATACATAGTGGTAGTAATAGTAAAACTTGCAATATTTTTCACCGCTATTGATCAATGTGGAGGGTTTCCTCTTGTAAATCTTGGGAAGATCTGCACTCTAAGGAAATAATTAACTGCCACTAACATTAGTATAGACCATACAGATTAACCGTACTTCTGGGCGCATCTGACTTTCATTGTCTGCGTTTTTTTGAAGGTAATCCACATTGTTCTTTTGCTGTGCGGTCAATAATCGAAAGCAAGAATAATTCTGCAATAGATTTATTTATTATAATTTAAAATTCGGCAAATAAGTCGAGGTTGCAGCAAGATTGCAACATCTCATTGAAATTTAAATTTTGTTTCTCTTGCGTTTTGCTATTAGTTAGTTTTTTTTTTCATAATGATATTTTGCTTCCAGGCAAATTAATAAATAATGTCTGAATTATGTTTGATGTGTGCGTATCCATTTTTCTCAGAGTTGGGATTATTTTACCGAAACATTTATTTTTTTTATAGACCTAGTGTTTCATACACTCATCTCTGTTTTCGTTATTTTTTAATTTTTTATTAGCCGCCTTTTGAATGTAAATGTCCAGTTGATACTTTAATATTGTTATATATAAGAATATTTAATTAATCTATAATCAGAATGTAAACTATTTATTTATTACATTTAATAGTATTATACGTATATTTATGTTGTGCATGTCTACATAAAAATAGAATAATTATGTAACTTTATATACATCGAAATATGGTTACCAATAAATCAATTTGTAATAAACAAATGTACAGAATGCAATATTCAGACTTTTCAAGCACATTTACATAGACAGAAGACATATTGTCTGCAATTCTTATGTGACTCGTGTGCATTTATATCGGTGACATGATGAAGAAAAATAATATCTTTTACTGAATCAATTGTATATTTTGAAGCAAAAGGAGTAGACTTTCATTTCTATTTAGGAGAGTTCCAACTCGGCTAAAAGCAAAATACTAAAAGTATGTTTAAGTTACTTTTGAGTAGCAGGAGGTGTGATATCATATCATACATCATCATATCATGTTAGTCAAAAGTACCATGTGAAAGAAAGCAGCAGCACGCCATTTGGTCCAAGGCAAATTGTTTGACTGAAAATGGTGAATGTTTTTAGAAGATAAGTTTAGCACACATACAAAGCATTACAGGCAATAATATCTGGACAAAAAAAATATTGCTGAAAATCGTTTTTTATAAACGATTTATATTTCTGTATTATTCAATAATGAATAATAATATTTCTATATTATTCAATATATCAATCAATATGGAGACTAAATTTTCCGCAGATACACTTTTCGTATTTTTAGACTTTATTGCTGATTTATTTGCATTTCTTGGGAATTTGCTTAAAAGTATTTCAAATTGTATTCTGTACACTACACAATCAACATTTTTTTAGAATCTAGAATTTAATAAACAGCGGAACTCAACTCATCATACTTATCAACATCACAAGAAGTCAATTCAATCAAATTGTTCTATTTAACGAATATTCTCGATTGTAGATATTGATAGAACGTTATCCAGTTACTACATGAAAATGTAAATGGAAGATTATCCGGACAATTTCCTTCATTTGATTTGCATTAGGCGGCATAAGAAGACATATATTTAACTACACTTAGTACGATTGACCGCGTTTGGAATACCTATTTTTGAAACCTTGCGTCGTTATTTTAATTAATGCTGCACTATTTAAGAAGTAAATTTCACGCTGCGATATTTTTTAAAGAATTAGAAATTTCCACTACTTCAGTAAGAACGAGAAATATTTTAGCAGAGATTTTCACAACTTTATCAACTGAAGCACTAGATAACAATTTTCTTTATTGTTGTGTATAATACTATAGAAATGGATTATCAACCATATTTTTTAATTTAGAGTTAGTTTTGAGTTTGAAATTAAATATTTAAATTTTACATATTTTGTAAAAGTAAACAATAAACCTCGATTAGGAAGAATATAATAGTATTACATGCTTTAAATGCTGATTTATATGCTTACATGCTATTTCAAACTGTAAAAACCCAATAAAAACCTTATTGACTACAGCATTTTAAGTTATTTTTCACTAATACTTATTTACATATTCTTAATCCTCAAAAATTAGTGAGTTGGGACTTGTCCTGAAGTTTAACCATCGTATTTTATTGCCATCTAAATCATATGTTTCTCGATGTCCGAAATGTTGTAAAATGATACGAACGTGCACGTTTTATGTATTTTTACAACCCCAAAACATAATAACTAATCAGGTTTTGATTCCGAAAGTTATTGCTTCCACACCCATATGTTTCCAATGACCCTTGCCTACCGTAAACCGATTTTTGTCAACAAAAGTGGAAATAAAGAAAAAAACACTAAAGTCTTTAAGTGTTTATTATAACTTACAAATAAGTATATTTCCTCAAGTAAAGCTGAGTAAAGCGTCAAAGATAAATTTGTTCAAATATTTACACACGTGCGATACTGCATCTAACCACCTGCCTCTTGAAATTACTTTAAGCTAAATAAGATACACTTTTGAAAAGTATTATTTATGAGTTCAATTGAAATGTGGAAAATAACACCCGTATATCTGAATAGGGTTGTCAGTTATTAATTAATTAATGGATTGGATTGGATAATAAAACGTGAAATTAGAAATGTAATTCGAATTATCGATTATTATTATTTTTTGTCGTATGCAGTGTATTATACAATACTATCAACATATGTATTTTGAAATTCACCAAAATTCTAAAGCAGTATGGAGAGTGTAGAGAATTTATGAAAACATGTAAATGTTACCCATAATTTATAATCGATTTATAGAGAGTGCTTGTTTGTTGTTAACTAACAGGAGATCCTTACAATAATACGTTGAGTGTGTGAGATCAGAAGAGAAGATCTTAAGTAAAAAAAATATTTTTGGCAATTGACACTTGTTTCTATTGAAAAACGTGCCTTTTTATTTATTATTGGTATTTACTAAATATGAATGAAACAATTCAAACAGTATTAAAAGAATTCGTAAATTTGTAGATTTTCTTAACATTTACGCGTTCCAAAATGTTCCCTTATGTAGGAAACTATTATTTTAATTTTCCTGATAGAAAGACACTATTAATATCCGCAAAAAACAAAGGAACACCCTACCTGCTCAACAGAAACTTTTAGTTTTAAGTACATTTATCAAGTTCAATATCTGCATTTGAATTAGTTCATTTGCAAAGCAAACAAATTTTCTGTGCGTAAAATAAAATTCCTCTGTCAACACTTGAAATATGTTCATGGATTTTTCCTTCGGTTATAGTGGCAGCATAATAAAACAACGACACCCTCATCCAGATTTCCTATCCAGGTTTCCTATATTATATAAATTTTTCATATTAATTTCCATTTGAACGTTCCGCAGTATCTTATCAGATGCACTTCCTTGGCGCATTCGGTTTAAAATCGGCCTTACTTGATAATCGAGACGTATCAAATGTATTTGTGTAATCATAAAATTTGCTGCAAGTTATTTCTTAATGGTTTCCTTGCTCTTTGACACTAAAAGCGCAACATAATCGTATGACAATATTCATGTAGGTTGTTTCTCTTGCCGATAATAAAATACAATGTAGCAAAAGTACCTTAAATACTACAAATG